AAGGAGCAGAGCTGGGCTCGGAGGAGGGGAAATTATGATGAGACAGCATTCGAGGTTGGGAGATGGTGGGTGATCCGAAACCTCCTGGGGGATGATGTACAGACTTTAAAGGCGAACAGATGTCAAAGCTGGGGAACTCTTGCTAATATGACTCAGCAGGGCTCTTGGCTAAGAGTGAATTTTACAAATGAGCCTTCAGAGAGCCTCAGAGAAGGTTCCTGAGCCTAACTAACGTTTGCCCAAGCACAGAATCTTTGCAGAACCCAACAACACTCCTTAGTTAACTTTATGTTTGTCAAAAGCTTGTAAAAGTTCTTTCAACCCAATGTGCCATTGCAAGCATCACTAAGGCGTTGCATTGCACGCCAGATAAACTTGTTGATGGGCAAAGAGGGCCTAAGCTGACCTTTTGCCAGCACGTGGCTGTCTCATAAACTATAGCCTGCGCACAGCACAGCGCGTGACTCAGCACTTCCCTAAAAGCGGACAAGCCCCAGAGAGAGTGTGAAGTCCAGGCCGGGAGTGTTCCTTTCTGAAAAGCCATCACACTCAGCATTGTTCCTCAATAACGCTTAGCACCAGCATTTTCAGAGAAGTTAAAAAAAATATTAATAATTGCTTTACACCAAAAGCTTGGAGTCTGTATATGTAAAAGCTAAGAGATGAAAGGAAATGCCGCTTTCTTTACACTAAATTCATTTCCACGCCTGTAATAAATTGAGAGGCTCTTTTGATCTGGGCGCTGAGATGAGTGTAGAATTTCTCAGGGGTGCAAGGGAACACTCAGCAATGTCTGCTTAATTCTGCAGCATTTGGAAAATTTACTAAAATTAAGTAGAAAACAAACCTGAGCAAAGTTACTGTAGCCTAAATATATATGACACAAGTTTCTTGTTATCAACTTCCAGTGGAAAAGATACCTCAAGCCAAAGAGAAGGCACTGCAAGAACCCAAGCAATTCTTCCTTGGCTGTCAGCGCCCTGTCATTCCTACAGGGAGGGTCAGAACACATAGGAAAATATGAGCATCTGGGAGATGTTACAATATGTTTGCAAGAACTAACGGAAGTCTCAAATTTATTTTGCCCCTAAAGCATGTGTTGATTGGAGAATTTCTGGGAAATGACATTATATCATGAAAAAAAAAAAAAAAGTAGTTCCTGGGCGTTGCCCTGTTGATGGCCAACATTAACGCTTTGTCCCCCTGGATCAAAGAAATGATCCCATCAAAGGAAAAACTAGACAACCACCGGGAATTAAGTCTTTCAAACTGAAATGCCTCCAAAAACAGGCACGCACAGGAAGTTCGGGAAGGAGGTGGTGATTTCCTTGAATGCCAAGAATTTATGAAATAATAATGACAGTAATTGGTGTTTATGGAGTATTTTGAATGTCCCTGCACTATTTGCTAAGGGCTTTCTGCACGCTGTTTCCTTTGAGCTTCACTCCTTTTTATGGTCCCCATCTGGGAGATGAGGAAGCACAGAGAGGTTGTTGGCTGGCCTGACGTCACAGAGGCAGGAGATGCCCTGGCCAGTGCTGTCCGTTGTACTGTATCCCTTCCTTCCTGAACTGTGTAACATGCTGTCCTTACCACTTACAGCTCCTCAAGGAGTTTTCAAACGTCACAGATGCTGAGACTCAGATCCACAGAGGCTGAGGGAGCTGCCTATGATCACTCAGCTAGGAAATGCCAGGGTGGGATCTGGACCCACCAACCTGAGCTCAGAGGCCAAGGTCAAAACCACTTCACAGCGCTGTATCTGCAGTCTGACCCGCATAGCCTCTCGCTGTGCTTTATACAAACAAACCAACAATTTAGAACATCTGGGAGAATGCATGTCTTCCTTTTTCACGTTGATACCAAACTCAGGAAAGATGAAAGAAAGACATGGCAAGGGAGTGTTCACCCAATGACCGGATTTGCCATTGCCAGCTCCTGGGGGGAGCCTAAGTCAGAGACAGACAGTAGAAAATGTAGGAGAGGATTTCGGTCCCAGAGCCCAAGAAATGGCAGCTGCAGAGACAGGATGGAAGCAGGTTCTCTAAATCCAGGCCCTCCTGACCTGACACCCATCTCCCGACCTGACTATGCAACCATCCGCAGCTCCAAACCAGGCAGGAGCAAGGCACCTCCAGACGCTACTGCAAAAGACTCCCCAATGCCCTGTTAGGGATTCCCCCCACCACATACACACCCTGCACGCATGCCAGAATAACCCAGTGTGACACGTCTGTGGCCTTCCTGAGGCGGCAGGAAGAGCAGCACCACCATTCTGAGCATGTTGTGTGCAAAAGAAGGAATTGTACCTGGGCAGAACACTGAGCTGGCTGCAAACCAAAGTGTCATGTGCCAAAGCAGAACAGCCACGCCTCCCCTGCCCTGCTCCTGCTCCTCTCAATTTTTAAAAAATGATTTATTTTTTGAAAGGCACTGTGACATGGAGAGAGAGAGAGAGAGAGAGTGTTTCCATTTGTGGGTTCACTTGCAAATGCCCACAATGACCAGGGCTGGGCCAGGCCAAAACCAGGAGAAGGGAATTCAGTCTGGGTCTTTCATGTGCATGGTAGGAACCCGGTTAATTGAGCCATCACCACTGCCTGCCAGGGTGGAGTCGGGAGATAGAGCTGGGTGTGAAACCCAGGCCTTCCTGTGTGGGATGCAGACAGCTGACCTGGCACCTTAACCACTAGGTGAAATGCCTGCCCCTAAACTCATCTTTTAATACCCTTTTCCCATGCATCTTTTGAAATACCCCTGGATGTCTGCCCTTGAGAGAGAAGTGTGAAGAATGAACACATTTTAGACAGCTAAAGTTTATCTGTTAAAAAAAAATGATATTTATAGTCCTTACCATGTATACGAATTAATTTCAGCACTTGACTGGACCACCAGCCAGCTAATGGAGATGAGAAAATGATTCCCCATGGTGGTTCTGATACCTGTTTCTTTAAACTTGAAAAAGAAAACTTACCCCTTCCTTCCCACCTGGCCTCCTGCAATGGAATATGAAGACTAAACCAAGAGTTTGTTTCCTGGTCATTCTGTTACTTGCAATTGGTTGATCATAGCACCTGCCAAGTGCCAGTGACTCAGAGGGGGTAAGATTAGGTCAGGTTGCTATAGCACACACACCTGAGGCTTAACACAACAAAGGGTTGTTTGTAGCTCCTCCTACATACATAGTGTGGGTTAGGTTAGAGGTAGGATGGGAGGTTCCTTTAGGTCAGGGGTGAGGAATGCCCTAGGAAATCATTTGCTCTGGCCCTGCCAGACAGGACTCAAAACTCAATAAATCCAGGGGAGGCTCTTTTTTTTTAAGATTTATTTATTTATCTGAAAGGCAGAGTTACCAATAGGCAGAGGGAGAGAGAGAGAGGGAGGTCTTCTATCTACTGATTCACTCCCCAGTTGGCTGCAATGCCTGGAGCTGCACCAATCCAATGCCAGGAGCCAGGAGTTTCTTCTGGGTCTTCCATGTGGGTGCAGGGGCCCAAGGACTTGGGCCATCTACTGCTTTCCCAAGTCATAGCAGAGAGCTGGAGAAGAAGTGGAGCAGCCAGGACTCGAACCAGCGCTCATATGGGATGCTGGCACTGCAGGCTGCAGCTTTACCTGCTATGCCACAGCACCAGCCCCCAGGCTCATTATTATTATAAATCCCCAAATAGCGCTTGGCAGAACAAAAGCTTCCCCAGCCCTGCTTAGGTGAATGTTTCTGTGATGCTGGATGAATGGAAACATAATTACACTGTCCCTGCAAGTTGCCTCCTGGAACTAAGAGAACCTCTACCCACCTTCAATTGGCCAGAGCAAGCCACAGGATGTACCTAACTTTAGAGAAGACAGCAAGCTGTCAAGGCAGCATATGTTTCCAGAAAGCAGGGGTGGGAATTGGACTACACACGTAGGCACATCCTGGCTGAGCAGATGCCATGGGGAACCTGAAGACAGGCAAGACGTGAGCTTCCGGTCACTAAAAGGGCCATTTAATTCTGTGATTCTCAAACTAAAGACGCATCTGAAAAATTACTCCGGAGTGGTGACAGGCTTAAAAGCACAAATTGGGAGGCCATGAGCTTCAATGCCTTGGATGCCTGTGCAAGCAAACCAAAGGCCAGCTTCATTTCAACAATGAGCTTAACACATCCGAGATCACAGCTAACCCTCTCCCAGGTGGTTTTCCACTGCAATGATCCCAGTGAACCTACTGCTCCACTTTTTAAAAAAGATTTATTTATTTATTGGAAAGGCAAAGTTACAAAGAGGCAGAGGCAGGGAGAGAGAGAGAGAAAGAGAGAGAGAGAGGTCTTCCATCTGCTGATTCACTCCCCAAATGGCCACAATAACCAGAGCTGGGCCAATCTGAAGCCAGGAGCCAGGAGCTTCTTCTAGGTCTCCCACGCCCATATGAGATGCTGACACTGCAGGCGGTGGCTTTACCTGCTATGCCACAGCACTGGCCCCAATGAATACTTTTTTAAAAATAGAAAGACTAAAGCATACTGTAGCTATCAAGCAAAGACTCTGATTCGGATAAAAACCAAACAGGCTAACCATTGTCAGGGCTGAGCTCTTCTGCTTGCTTCCAGGGCTCTGCCCTGGCAGCTGGGAGAGAAGACAAAGCACCTGTCTGCCTCTGATCACAGCTGCCATTTTAATGAGGTGCAAACTTAGCATGGCTCACAAAGGCCAAGAGAGAGAGAGAGAACAGGAAAGAGCTGTCGGGCTACTCAACACAGCAGTGGATGAGACCTCGTTAAAGGTCTCAGACTCTCCAGGCTTGGGGCCAGACACTGTGAAACTGGAATGTGCATTTGAACCAAGCCCCCAGGTATCCACATTAAAGGCTGAGGGACCATCCCCTAGAGTTTGAGTCCACCTGTGTAAGTGGTCACTGCTGCCTTTCACCAAGTGGAAGGAAAGAGAATTGGGGCTGACATTTCCCAACCTGCCTTCCCTCCCCAATAAATCATTCACCTGCCTCACAACCTCTACAGCACAGCCGGTGTTGACGTGGATGTCACTGCAGGCACCCAGGGTATCCCTGTAGCAACTGAAAATACCGTTTCCAGAAACATCCGTCTTTCACACTCACTTCCGTGGACTCCCCCCAGCTCATCTGATCATCTCATCTCCAGCTTTCTTTTCTCCCTCCACTCGTGTGTGCCAGGTAAGAATGGGGAGAGGTGACAGTTTACATATGTGTTTCTACCGACAGGGTCCAATGGAATGTTGGGGGTTTTGTTTTGCTCTGTTTGGTTTGAGCCTAGATGGGTAGTCTGGATTACGTCCTGTCTGCTTTAGTCTTCAGGAATCTGTTATCCATGTTCCGGGGCATGCAGAGCAGCACTGCTAAGGAGAGTAACTCAGGTGACCTAATCTATGTGTTTCTAAAAAGTTACAAACCATCCACGCTTTACCTTAAAACTCAGTAAGAGCACAGATGAACCTGCAAATCAGGAGTTAGCATGCTATGGAAAATATTACCAGGATTATATCATGGAAAACATTATCATAATTATATCTCCACTTGCTATGGGAATTTCACGAAAGCAAATAAATAGATGTTATATTGAAACTCAAGGAGCCTGCATTTAAAAAGATATCTTGCTTCTCAAAAGCATTTACTTCTTAATACAAAGACTCTCCTTCCTGCCCTCCAAAGATGAAGCTGGGAAGGATAGAGTTGGGACGCATGCGACCCCAAAATGTGTCACTTGGCCTTCAAGAAGGTGGAAGCAGAGAAGGCCACCTGACGCTCCCCTCTGTCCTTGGCCCTGAGCAGGTCTTAGGACCCTCATGGGAGACCCTGTTCCTGGAGGCAAGGGGCTTTCTTATGCCTGAACGTGAAAGTCACAAAGAGGAATCTGAACAGTTTATTTCCACAAGATTTATTATTACTGTTATTATTATTATTCATCATACTTGGGCTTGTCTGTGACAATCCACCTCTTCATCAAAACCAGCGTAAAAAATACGGAGGCTCCTGTGGGTTTCTTTGGGCCTTCATTTCTCTATAAAAGCTGTTGTGTCATGTAGAACTCAGATTCAGTGAAGGTACATGTTAATCTTTTACTGTAGGGGCCCCAACCATGAACCCAAGATGAGGAGGAGGGACCCCGGAACCCCCCCCCCAATTTTCCTCTGCAGGACAGTGAATGTCAATGTGCATTTGAACATGGTTGCTGGCAATCCAGAAACTGTTGTCTGGAGGACACCTATGACACACTGATCTCAACAGCCTCTAAAAAAATCTGGTGAAACAAGGACGAGAACATCTCCAGGTGACGATGGGGCGGCAGGAAGTGCTATGACGCTTGTACATGATGAGGTCCTCATGTTCCTGAAATAAGGAATCTAGGAAGAGAGGAATTATGCCTAATATTTACAACTTTTCATAAACATCCCCAGGTCCCAGGCACAAGACAAAAGGCGTGACTCACAGCACAGCGGGCGTCCGTGGCCAGGGAAGTGGCCCTTGTGAAGATTGCTTCCCTAATGCCTGAGAATCGTTCCTCCGAGATCTGTGGGAAGCTGATAATGGGTATTACACTGAGTATCACCAGTAGAAATCTGGGTTTGATCAAGAGCATTTCCTTAAGCTAAAAATGTCATGTTTCCAGAGCTTGATATTTTAGTAGATCATGGTAAAAAAAAAAAAAAAAAAAAAGGAAAACTTGGAAAGACAATATGAATGACTGTCACCCTTGAATTTGTGTTGTCATTTGAGTCCACTGGCTGATTATCCCGATGGGTGTGGCTTGAGTCCTCTCACAAGCTCTGGGTTTTAGGGGTCCAACTTCCTTGCCTACAGGGTCACTGGCTGGGGGTCTTCCTCTATGGGCAGGTGGTGATGGGCCCAAAAGCTTGTTTAAAAGCCCACCCCCAGGGACCCCAGGTGGGGTTTGGAGTCTGCATTTTTTACAAGCTCTGCAGGTGATTCTGAGGAGGTGATCTTCAGACTAAGTGTGGAGGAACACTGATAACATCTAGTTAACTGTTCATATTTAAAAAGAAGTTTGAGGCAGGGAATGCAGCCCAAATCCCACACTAGAGTGCCGGTTCCGCTCCTGATTCCAGCTTCCGACTAATGCAGAACCTGAGAGACAGCAGTGATGACTCCAGTAGCTGGGTCTCTGCCACTGACATAGGAGACCTGAATTCAGTTTGCAGCTCCTAGTTTCTACCCAGGTGACCCTTTGGGAGTGAAAGAACCAATGGAAGCCTGCTTGCATTCTCTCTCTCTCTCTCTCTCTCTCTCTCTCTCTCTCTCTGCCTTTATGCAAGTCAAATATAATAAATAAACTAACAAATAAAAAGTCATATGAGTAGCACACAAAATGAGTGTTGGTGAGCTTGCTAGCAGGGATAGAGAATAGGATGACTGCTGAGGATAACAGTATGGCAGTTCCTCAAAAAGCTACATATAAAATCACCGTATTATGCAGGAACCCCACTTCTGGGAATATAGCAGCAGAGCTGAACGCAGGGTCCTGAAGAGACATTTGCACAGTTGTGTTCGCAGCAGCCTCATTCACAACAGCCAAGAGGTGGAAGCAGGCAAGTGTCCACTGGCAGATGAATGCATTAGCAACATGTGACTTGTCTATCCAATGGACTATGATGCAGCTTTCCAAGTGAAGAAAATGCTGACACATACTATATTATGGATGGATCTTGAGGACATTATGCCAAGTGAAATAAGCTAGACACTCAGGGACCAATGCTTCCACCTCCATATGGTCCCCAGGGTAGTCAGTATCATAAGGACAAAGCAGGCTGTCAGGGACTGGGGAGGAAATGAGGAGTTGGTGTTTGATGGGCGGGTGAACCAAGTTCTGTGAATGGATGGTAGTGAAGGTTGTACAGTGTGAGTGCCCCGAGTACCACTGACCTGGTCACCTACAGAGAATTGAGATGGTAAACCGGGACTGGGGTAAGCCACTGCTTCAGCATCCCATAGCAGAGTGCTGATTCGCGTCTCAGCTGTTCCACTACTGATCCGGCTTCCTGCTAATGGCCCTGGGGAGGCAGGGGAAGATGGCTCAACCGTTTGGGCCCCTACCACCCATGTGAGAGCAGGATGGATTTCTTGGCTCCTGAGTTCACCCTGGACAATGCCTGGCCATTGCAGCCATCTGGGGAGTGACCCAGTAGATGGAAGATTCTCTCTCTGTTTCTGCCCCCTTCCCCCGCCAGTCTGCCTTTCAAAAAAATAAATCTTTTTCTTCTTTTTTTAATTTAAATAAATAGAAAAGATTTCATATAAACCATTTTAAGCCCATAACAATACTTCCCTCTCTCCCTCCTCCTTCCTGTCTTTCTTTTTTTCATTTTCATTTTTGCGATAACATGCTTTCAATTCACTTTATAGTCATAGGCTTAACCCTCCACTAAATAAAGAATCCAACAAGTAGAAAATATAAAGATGACTATCCCACAGGAATATAGACAAGGGATATAAAGAACAATCAAATATCAAGATGTCAATTTCACTCATATATATCACTTTTTTGTACTCTATAGATTAACTACAAATAAAAGAAAACATATATTATTTGTCTTTTGGGATCTAGCCTTTGTCACTAAGCATAGTGGTCTCTAGTTACATTTAGTTTGTTACGAAAGACAGAATCTCATTCTTTTTTATGGTTGAGTAGCATTCCATGGAGTATATGTAGTACATTTTCTTTATCCAGTCATCAGTTGATGGACATCTGGGTTGATTCCACATCTTGGCTGTTGTGAATTGAGCTGCTATTAAAAAAAAATGGCAAGCTGCGTTACATCTATTTTACCACAGTTAAAAACAATAATTAAAGAAATCCAATACCCCTTAAAGGGAAAGGACATTACACAAAGAATAAACTTTAGCTCTTTCTGACATTCTAAGTCAAAATTCACATAAGGCATCCAAGATTCATAGAGATTAAAAAGCTTGCTCAAGGTCAGACAGCTGACACATGGTGTAACCAGGAGCCAAATCTAAGGCGCTCCATGTCTGTCCAATGGCCCCATCTGGCTCACTTCTGTTTGGATGTGAGTAATAACAGGAAGCGAGTGTCAAGAGGACTCTGGGGTTTAGTGTGTGATTCACTGAAAGACAGGGCTTTAATTTACAAAAGTGGGAACCCATAGGAGGATGTTACCAAGGAGGAAGAGAGAAAAGGAAGAGGCGGGGTTTTGGATTTGTTCCTCGGAAGGGAAGAGAATTGGCTGTTGGGAAGGCTGGCCTGGCCTGGCACACAGGTGTTGGGCTCATCGGTGAAAGTGGAAGCAGATGATGGAGTCTAGGGTCACGGATGGCTTCCATAGCCTTGGCAGCCCATGGCAAGAGCCTTGGGTGATCACTGACATCATAAATAAGAGTGTCAATTGTTAAATGAAAACAGAATTTGTTCCCACATAGGACCTCTGTCCTTAATGAGTTATACTATGGGGGTTGACTGCAAAACTTGTTCTCAAACTGTACTTTATATGTTGTGTGGGGGGTGCAAACTGTTGAAATCTTTGCTTAGCATAGAGTTGGTCCTCTGCATATAAAGGTAAACTAAAAATGAACCATAGTGAAGAATGGGATGGGAGAGGAAGCGGGAGGTGGGACAGGAGGGGGTGGGGATGGGACAGCGGGTATGGGGGAAAGAATCACTGTATTCCTAAAGTTGTACCTATGAAATATGCACTCATTCAATAAAAGCTTTTTAAAAAAGGGGGAAGCAGAAAGTGCATAAGCTCAGTGGGGAGCCAGAAGAAAGAAGAGCAGCAATGGGGTGAGTGAGAGCCAAGAGCCAAAGGCAACACCTGGGACAACACCTACAGTGCATTCAGGAGGCGGACAACAGGCTGGAACCAGAGCCTGGGGAGAAGGAAGAGAAGGGACACCCCACAGGCCCAAGACAGAGCCTGCGACTTCTGGGGCTCCTGGTACAAACTACAGCAGTCAAGTGTCTGCTTGACTTAATGACTGGGACACATTCTGGGGAGTGAACCACGGGGCGATGTTGTGGGTGTGAACATCAGAGAGTGCAGCCCACTGCACACCTAGGTGCGTGTATGTATGCAGGTCTACATGACACAGCCTGTTGTCCCCGGGAGCCCTCGGAACAAAACAACACGAGGTCAGATCAAGCACAAGACAAAATGACGCAATCGAGAGATGCTGAGCAAACAAGAGACGCGTGATACTGCAGCCAGGGTGCCACGTGACACTGATGACAAACTTTCAAACCCTTATGTATTTATTTTTGCATGTTTGAAAGCCAGAAAGAGAGAGAGAGATCTTCCATCTACTAGCTCACTGCTAAAACAACAAGGGTGGGTGGGGCCAAAGCCAGAAGCTTAGAAATTAATCTGGCCTCCTGTGTGGGTGGCAGAAACCCAAGTTCTTGGTGTCGCTCCCCCTCTTCGTGGAGGAACGACACAGGACCCTGCGCTGTTCTTTCGTCTGCTCGGCCCTCCCCGGGTTTGCTGCTGGTTCTTCCCGAGTTGGCTACCGTCCCTCCACCTCCGTGGAAGGGAGGTTCCCCCTGCCACATTCCCCACTTCCGCGGGGGAGCGGCACACCGCCGGCCGGCTCTCTCGGGGGCTGCACAGGTGTTCCTTCAGATGTTCCCCTTAGATGTTCCTGGTGCATGTTGTCTCTCTCCTCCTTTATAGTCCTCTTCCACCAATCCCAACTCTGCTACCCACACGCCGAGTACGCTGCTCTCCTCCAATCAGGAGCAGGTCCCACAGTTTATTGGTTGAACTGGAGGCAGCTGTGTAGAAGCTGTTTTCCTTCTCAGCGCCATATTGTGGGAAAGCAGATGCATAGAATAAGTCTTAATTCCAGTAACTTAGTCTAGTCCGAGTTGCTCCCCACACTTGGATCATCACCTCCTGCCTCCCACTGGGGGCTTTAACAGGAAGCTGAAATCAGAAGTGGAGCTGAGACTTGAACCCAGGTACTCTGATATGGTATGCAGGTATCACAAGCTGTGTTTCAACCACTGTGCCAAACACTTGTCCCTAAGCAAAAAAAAAAAAAAAAAAAAAAAAAAAAAAAAAAAAAAAAAAAAAAAAAAAAAAAAAAACAGAAGGAATATAATATATAATCATGATAAAAAGGATAGTACAGTAAATACAAAGATTCTTCCAGAAGTTACTGGAGAGGCAAGTGTTTGGCCCAGCAGTTAGGATGCCTTTTGGGACACTACATCCAACATGACGGTGCCTACATGTGTGTCTTGGCTCAACTCCTGATGCCAGGTTCCTCCTGGTGCTGACCCTTGGGTGCAGCAGCTCAAGGAACTGGGTTCCTGTCACCCATGTGGAAGAGCAGGATGGAGTTCCAGGCCCTTAGCTGCAGCCCCACCCACAGTCCTGACTGTCCTGGGCATCTGGGCAGTAAACCACTGGATGGGAGGTTTCTGCCTCTACGTCTCTGTCTCTCCAGTAAAAATTAAACAAAAAGTTCATGGAAATATGTGTTATGAAAAGTCCATGCATGGATTTTGAAGATGTTTGCACCAAAACAAACTTACCTTTTAATTCCATTTTTTGCCGTAGCCTTTTTGAAGCACCCTGGTACATAAACCAGAAACAACCTAGTGTTGTTATCCAAGCATTCTGTCTACACCTTATACGTGCTGCACTTCTACGGCACTGACCAGGGGCAGTACGTGTGTTTACATCAGCAGTGCCACACACACGTCAGTACTGTGTTGTGCACCAACATCACGGTTGATAATCTGTCCACAGGGATAGGGATTTTGCAGCTCCATTATGATCTTTGGGGACCACTGTCATATATGTGGTCCATCACTGATACAGAGACCATGACGCAACACAGAAAGTGTTCACACAGTGAGTTTTAAGCTCCTCAGCTATGGAAGCTCCAGCGAAGTTATGTGAGGTGAGTGGACAAGCTATCGTGTTTATGATGTCATACAGAAGAGTGTTAATAGTTAAATTAAAAACAGGAGTCACTGTATGCTAACTTCCCATGCAGGACCTCTGTCCTCAAAGACTTGTATTATAAATATGTCTAAATGTTCCCAAAAGATTTATCATTCTTGGGTGCTTCCTTAAAGTGAATTAAGTTTATAAAAAAAAAAAACAAAGAAAGAAGTGAAATTAACTACAAGACGCAACGACTTTGAACAGACCTTATCTCAACTGCTGAGGAACAGGTTTTGTTTTCTTTTGTTTTGTTTTGTTTCCGTGCAAATTGTTGAACTCTTTACTTAGTATAGAGTTGGTCTTCTGTGTATAAAGTTAATCGAAAATGGATCTTGGTGGAGAATGGGACTGGGAATGGGAGAGGGAGCAGGAGGGGTGGGAGTGTGGGTGGCAGGGCAGGTATGGTGGGAAGAGTCACTATATCCCTAAAGTTGTACTTATGAAATGCATGAAGTCTATATTCCCTAAATAAAAGGTTTCTTTGGGGCAAAGAATAAATAAAATTTTTTTTAAAGTGAAAGGCAACACACAGGTCACTTTCCCAAGGTCGTACAGAGCACTCAAGTCCAAATTGTCCAAGTTCACAGTCCCTCTGTACTTCACGGAGTGACAGCTGCAGGAAGCCGGGGACACAAACAGGCCCCCTGCTTCTCCTAAGGAGTATGCACTAACGATGCTGCACAAAATGCACCTTCCTGGAAGGCTGCTTGTGGTCTAAGTTCTGCACAATTATTGTTGAGTTTCACTTTATACGTAAACTTCAAGTTAGCACACACAGATATAGCACCAACTTGCCTCTATAAACAGAAGGTGATTTGGAGAATTTTCTTTTTACTTACATGGACTTACCTACATACAACTGCTTGGAGAATAAATGGACAACAGTTGGAAATTACTCGTGTTTGCTTCAGGTCCATGTCCTGCCCCCAGTCCTAAGGAGCCACATGTCACTGTGTTTAACAGGCAGAGTTGAAATCAATGATGACAGCATCATGATTGTAAAGACAAAGAAACAGCACCTGTGATATTTCCACTTTGCTGTTTTATGTAATGGTTTGGAAGTCTTTTCATGTGCTTAAAATGTAAGACAGGGCAGGGGTGGGAGGCAGAACCTAGCCTAGTGGTTACAAATCTGCACCCCACATTGGAGTACCAAGGCTTGATACTGGGCTCTGTCTTCTGTGTACAGCTTCCTGCTAATGCACGCTCGTGAGAGGCAGTGCTGATGGCTCAAGTAGTTCAGCTTCTTCCAGCCACCTTGGAGACCGGCATTGAGTCCCCGTCTCCCAGCTTCAGCCTAGCCCAGCCCAGAATGCTAGAGACATTTGGGTAGCTTCTCTCCGTGGGAGTTTCTCTCTACATAGGTATCTGTCTGTCTGTCTCTCAAAAAAAGTTAATGTAAAAGAGGAAAACAGTATTGTGAAGTGTAGCATTTTTGCTAAATGTGAATTTTAGTTAATACCTAAAATGACATACGGAATTGAATAGTATCTTTTTGTTTTGTTTTTGACAGGCAGAGTGGACAGTGAGAGAGAGAGAGACAGAGAGAAAGGTCTTCCTTTTCCGTTGGTTCACCCTCCAATGGCCGCCGTGGCCAGCGCACCACGCTGATCCGATGGCAGGAGCCAGGTACTTATCCTGGTCTCCCATGGGGTGCAGGGCCCAAGCACTTGGGCCATCCTCCACTGCACTCCCGGGCCACAGCAGAGAGCTGGCCTGGAAGAGGGGCAACCGGGACAGAATCCGGCACCCAGACCGGGACCAGAACCCAGTGTGCCGGCGCCGCAAGGCGGAGGATTAGCTTAGTGAGCCGCAGAGCTGGCCAAATAGTATCTTTAACATGAAAACGTATTCTTCATGGTGAGAATAATGATTATTACTGATTGTTGTATGACTGGTAACGGAAACAATTTTGTTCTAGTGTCAAAAATCCCACCTTCTTGGCTACGTGCCCAAGGCAGAGCCAAACCTCTTGGTGAGTCTCTGGCCATCACAAAAGGAAGTGGTGACTTCAACAAGTTCATGGAAACTGGAATTAAAAGATAAACTACTGGGGCCAGGGCTGTGGCATCGTGGGCTAAGCCTCCGCCTGAGGCGCTGGCATCCCATGTGGGTGCTAGTTCCTGTTCCGGCTGCTTCTCTTCTGACCCAGCTCTCTGCATGGCCTGGGAAAGCAACAGAAGATGGATGACCCAAGTCCTTGGGCCCCTGCACCTGTTCCCAGAAGAGGCTTGTGGCTCCTGGCTTCGGATCAGCTCAGCTCCAGTCATTGTGGCCATTTGGGGAGTGAATCAGCGGATGGCAGACCTTTCTCTCTGTCTCCCCATCTCTCTTTTTCTAACTCTGCTTCTCAAGTTAAAAAAAAAAAAAAAGATAAATTACGTTTAGTGTAAAAAAAATTGAAATCCATGTATATCAGGAGTCTTCAAAAAGTTTATGGAAATGAATATTATGAAAATACTCTGCATGGATTTCAAAAATTTTTGGCACTGAAATAAACTTATCTTTTAATTCCATGTATCCATGGACAGTTTAAAGTCCTGTCCATTCAGTTTCCAGAGATTCTTGGCAAGGAAGCGGTGAGGGTGTCAGATAGCCCAGGCATCTAGGGATTTTCTCTACAAGCTTCTCTGCTATTCCTGTGAGA